ACTCAAAGTTTCCAAAGAAATCTCTTAACATCAAGAAGCCACCAATATGATTAAAAACCAAACCAAAAAATCCTGATACACAAAATGAGAAAGAAAGACAAAGAGGGGAAATGGACTATGCAGACAGAGTGGGACTGCTTGAGAGCTTCATCAGGTTCTTAAAGCCACCTGAGCGCTGTGCATGGGATGCAGCAGATACTGCTTTGTTCGAAATAGGGAGCAGGATACAGAACAAGGCAATCGTGGGTTTCTTTCAGTGCTACCACAAAGCCTTGGGCCTCTGGAGTATTCTGAGACCTTCCTGTACCTCAGTTTGTTCTGCTGAAATATAAACTTGTGGACTTACTAAATCAATTCTACTGTACAGAGTTGTTCAGAGGATAAAAGGATAAAAATGCACAGCACACACAAAGCATACAGCTAAGGGCTGCTGAAGGGTGATGCCCTCAGCGCACAGGATAGAGAGGGGACAGGGAGAGAGCAGCGAGAGGCAAAACCAGAAAACGGAGGCTGTAAGGGCAGTGACCCCCAGACCTCAAGTCACAAGCCATCTTTTCTGCTCAAGTGGACGTAACCAAAAACAGAATTTATGGCAGAGAAACTAATGCCCAGCAGAGGGCAGACTGAAGGAGGAACCCACCTTCCATCCTATACAATGAGGTCTTGTCACTGTTCCTGTGTAAATACACCTGCATTTAATCAGTTGGTTGGCCTTTGGCTTAACCATGTTGTGACTTTAAATGACTTCTACAACTTGCTGTCTTGTAAGACTATTTCTCTGTCTTCATTTACTATTAAAACTAGGAGCTGCTCACTGGTCTCACAGAGTGTGATCAAATCCTGCTAAAAGATTAAAAAAAAAAAAAAAAAATCTCGCAGCATTCATTCACATCTGACACCAAAGGGGAAAAGTAGTAAGAGTCTTAAAAATACGTTCCAAGAAACAAAAGGAAGAAAAGAAAAAATTAAACCCTTAATCTGAAACTCCTCTTTACAATAAGTAACTAGCTTAAAACAATATAAAGATAATGAGAAGAATCTATTCCTGCTCCTGTCCTTTTTTTATTAGCTATTTGTCTATGCAGCCATCTTCTGCTCTTTGAAAATGAAATGATCACAAGACAAAAATTTACTGAACATCTATTACATGTTAAGCCAATGTCAGGCACAGGGGCCACAGATGAAATCAGATGGGCACTGAGGACCTTGAGTGTCTCATAACTTGACAAAAGAGGAAACCGAGGTTCCCAAACAAAGCTCACAATCCTGACCTTGAGGCACTAGAATATTCCAATGGTCTGGGAGGAAGTCAGATCCAGGGTCTTCTGAGAGCCAGGCCAGTGGAAATGAAGGGAGAAAAGGCTGAGATTTCAACATATGCCTCTGACAATGCAGAGAAAGAGAAGACTCCAGAATTCTCACAGAGCTGTACTGGCCTCCTTCCTCCTCCCATGTGTGTGGACTCTGGGGAGATGACCAGTTGTGGGTGAGAGTGGTAATGAAAAGGTCAAAGGTGTACTCCTGGGGCAACAGTGCAAATGGCCAGCTCTTCTCAACAGCCTTCAGGCCCTTAATAGCCATTTAACTCGCTCCTGCCTTCTGGCTATCACAACTCCCCACAGGACAGGATAAGATGACAATTAGAGCTGATTCTATACCAAAAGCTATCTGAGTCATGGAGGGCATCCAGGCTAAGCAGAAGCAAGCCCAGCATAGGAGAGAAGATGCGCTTACATGTCACCAAGGCTTGAATACTACTTACTATCTACCACCAGTAACATTCACTTACTCACTTGATAACCAATCCACTATTGAGCATCAATTGTGTGACACACTGGGACACAAAGGAAACAGGGTGATAAGATCCAAATCAATGTTATGTTAATATGGAAATATTGTAGTTAAGATAGGAAGGAGAGATACATATAAATGTGGAAAGCCTGACATGACCAGGGTAGCAAGGCTTCCTGAGAATGTGAGAAATAGCTATTGGGGCCAGGGAACTGTTCTCTAGACCTAGAGCAGTACTACAGGCAAGGGGAACAGTAAGAAGGAGGGTAGTAGACCAAGGCCCAGCCAGTAAGGGAGCACAGTGAGTAACCCAGCAGCGAGTAAACTGCTGCTTTGCAGGTGCCCTATTCAACAAAGAAGATAATGCCTCTTATGTGTGCCTGATATGCTGCTGGAACTCTCCAACCTGTGTGTGCCTGACATGCTGCTGGCTCTGGACAGATAAGTCTGGGAACGGACAGAACAGATGGGAGTAGGCACAAGTCTGCCCGAAGGTCCCAGGCTTGTGAAGCAGGAAAGCCCAGCCTTACCCTAAATGACCCTGAGCAAAAGCCAGACAAGCTTCCTTCTGAACCACAGGGTTACATAAGGATGTAATTTTAATACTGTTATAAAAGTAAAAACAGGGAAACAATGCCATATCCAGCCACAAGGCTAGGTGGGTTATGGTATTGCTAATTCAGGAGAATCAATACAACTCTTAAGAACAGAACTATATGATATATAAAATAAGATAAAGAGAGCTCTAAGGTCTATAGTTAATGAGAAAAAGTAATGTACAGAACAAGAAATTTAGTGTGTTAACTAATTATTAAAACATGTAAGTATATGTGAGTAGCTTACTCAAGGATCACTCATCTTTGAAAAGATAAAGCCAACACTGGTAACACGCTTTGCCTCTGAGTAAGAAAATCAGGAGGCAACAGAGACGAAGGCACTTTTCACTGACTACTCACTGAACACCTCTGTCAAGTACTAGACTTTTCAGCAATGGTGAAATAGTTTTTCAAGAGTCAAAAAACTTTGAGTTCAAAAACTCCTAAAACAATAAAATCTTGCTAGGGGCACAGCTAGGGGTAGAGAGAACTTGCCTAGCATGACTGAGACCCCACATTCATTCCTCAGTGCCTAAATAAATAAAATTGTTAAGACAAACCCAGATCTGTTATTTCTCACTGTGGAATACTGGGTGAGTGATTTCATTTCTGAGCTCAGTTTCCTCCTCTACAAAATGGGGGTCATAATAGTAATTACTGATATGGAAAAAGGATGATTAAATAAAACTATAATGCTTGAAAGAATTCAGTTAAATTTTTAACAAGTAATGGTTAATAAAGACAAGTTATAGGTATTGGCAGTTAATAATTTGTACAAGTCAGCTGATTGTTCTTATTATTCAAAGTGACACTGAGATTGCTCTCTGAGAGCACATAGGCCAAGCATTGGCCGTGACTCATCCAAATGGCTGACACTGACAAAGGTTCTACAATCTGAGGTACAGGATCTCAAGATAAATCCTGAGGGCATTTCACTGACCTTCTCAGACCAAAAAGCTATAGCTCTTGTTGCACAGGTCCTGCTTTACCTTGGTCTTAACCATCCAGTAGAAAAGTATGAAGATGAAATATAGGAAGTAAAGCCATGTTGTTATGTTGAGCTGTGGGGGACTCAGGTCAATAATTTCTGACATTGCCAGTTAAACAGAAGACCCAATGATATTATGGGCTTCTGTACTCTTTTAGAATATTTTGCTGAGTTTACACACCTATAATATTCAACAACGGAACTTAAAAAAAATTGGGGTATAACTATGAATGTCCATTTTGTATCTGTGTATTCAAAGTGGTTGGGATAGATATATAGTTGCATTCTCTTAATGAATAGAATGATTTTTTCTAATGATGTTTGTAAGTAGGATCACAAGTCTCCATCTTGTACAGCAATTAACCACTAGGAAGAATGTATGCAGTGTATTATTTGTTGAAACTGTACTTTCGATTTGATTTGAAACTGTCTCATTGCTATATGTTTATCAATAAAACTTTGAAAAGAAAAAAAAAAGAGATTGCTCTCTGAAAATGCATCCACAGTGACAGTAGGGATTGTCATTCTTTTAGTATGGAGAGAAGGACACCTACAGGGCCCAATCTGAGCTGATGCTAAGGAACAGGGCCTCTGTGGGTTTGTGCCTGCCACAGAGTCCCTTGGAGCAAGGTAGAACACTTAGAACTAGGCAGAGAATAGAAGATCCTTGCCTATCCCAGACCTGCCCTATCATAGAGGGAAATGGGTCAGCACAAGCTTCTCAAACCCACATCTTGGTGTCTTTTCAAGCTCCAGAGCACAGATGCAGTGAGACGAGGTACACTGTTAGACACCAAGTCTTCAAGGTAGGGCACGGGTGTGAAACAACTGTGGAGGACCCATAGCACCTTACTCAGAAAGGCAAAGGGTAACCCAAGGACCTCACTCTGCTCCTCCCAATCCACTGGCATTGTGCAGCATAGAAAAACAATATAACTTCAATTAAATCTGAGTTTGAATCCGGCTCCAATGCATACTGATTGAAAGATAAGGTCCTCATTCAGTGAACCTATAAATGGAAATAATACAACCTCTCTCAAAGGTGTCAGAGAAGCTGGGATAGGTCATTAGAAACTAGACCAGTCATGACTGAAAACAGCTGAATCTGTCAATGGATACCACAGAGTACTGGAAAAAATAAAAGAGAATTGTATATAATATAATCCACATTATACTTAATCTGGCCTACCTTTGGGCACTTAACATTTTATATAATAAATATGTTTCAACATGAGGAAGAAGTTATATGTGTGTATAAGCACAAGTGTTAGAACACTAATAGGATTGTTGTTCATAATAGCAAAATATTCATTAATAGCAGTAGCATACTTATTTTATAATGGCCAATTTCAGAATAGATTACTAGCAGATGGTGTGTAAAGTATGGCTACAGCATAATTTATAGCATTTTATTTATTCTAATCCCTGCTGCCTCCCAAAAAAGAAAATGTGGCAGAAATCAATGTAGGCAAAATCTGGACGGTAGAAGCATGGATATGCATTCTTTTAGCATTAGTGCCTTTCTATACCCTTTACACTACCAATAATAAAAGAACTAAACAGTGCTTGGGGGCAGCAGAGGCCAGATCAACAGACAGGCTCCATCTTCAGGATGAAGTACTCACCGGCCCCCGGAGGTCAATGAGCTCTTGGCGCATCTGGGATATGAGGGCCTCCTTGGCCACCAAGGCCCGGTGCAGGCGTTCATTGAACTCGATCAGCTCCCCATGCATCTCGGCCACCTGGAACAGACAATCACCAAACTGTAAGGATACAAGGCAGCTGCTCTCCATGCCATGTCCCTCCTTCTCCAGACCCTCCTTCCTGCCACCTTTCAGCAAGGTATCAGCAGCTTGTTGGGGCCATTTACCTTGGAACTGTGTAAACCCACCTCATGCTGAATACGTCTTAATTTGCTTAGTTTTAGCACTTGGGAGTAGCCAGCCCACAAGTTATAATTAAAAGATATCATCATTTTTTAAAATTTCAGTTTCTGGTTAACTAACACTTTTCTAACAAATACTTGTATTCTAATCTGAGTTATGCCTGTCAAGAAAGTCCCTGCTAACAGCACAATGAGAGTAACTGCAACCATTCTGTTCATCAGGTCCTTGGTTCTGGAAACCAAGGAAATAGAACCAGAGATTTTTTCAGGTTACTGTCAACGATAGTGTCAGACACAATAGCAGCTGCACAACTACTTCTCTGTCACTGCTGACTCCACTCAAGGACAGATCCTTTCTATGTGTTCCTTGTAGCTGTATCACAGGAGCTCTGAGAGGTATGTACTATTACTTTCACCTTAGCAGAAAGAGAAATAGTAGTTTGTTCAAGGTCATGCCACCAAAAAGAGCAGATGTGGAGCCTGGCTGTGCGCTATGAACTTGCTACTGCATTGGGCCCAGATGTAGCCCACAGCCTATGAGGAAACACAGGATCTTTCTAAATTGAATTATGCGGTATTTCTGGCTGATCCTAAATAAATAAAAATGGAGATGGCTATACAGTAGCCTATCATAAATATAGACTTCTCAATTATAATTTATTCAAACATATTAGAAAAATATGAGATGTTATGCTGCCATGTTGTCTCTGAACCCTGCAGAAAGACTACAAGCACCTTAAGAGAAGCCTGTACAACATGAGGTCAGCAGACTGAGCTGGCCTGGGCCCGTGACCTGTCCAAGAGATCGCCCCTCCCACATCTGAGACTTATTTAAGTCATTACTACACTGTGTGATATGCAATAATACCAGGCCATCTGTAACATGTATATTACATGAGATAAAAGATACTGTCAGTATAAAAAGAGTATACAGGGAACCCACTCTAAAACTAAAGATCACTAACCCAGGTCTCCATTGGATAAGCAAAAGGAAGCCCTTCTTTTTGGTTGTTTTGCCATATAAGTGGCAAAATGCTTAGAATGAGCCAGGCATGGTGGCACATGCTTATAGTCTCAAAAAAGTTGAGGCATAAAATTTCACCTGGGACACTTATCGCGACCACTCTTCAAAAATGTGTGTGTGTGTGTGTGTGTGTGTGTGTGTGCGCACATGCGCGCGCGCACACACACACACACACACACACACACACACACAAAGGGCTGGGGTATAGCTCACTGTGAAGGCCCTGGGTTTAACTTCTAGCACCAAAGAAAAAAGAAAAGAAAATTTTAGAAGGAAGTACAGGAAGATATTAACATTCAAGAGGTGTGCTTTTCCCATTATTTCTCCTTTTCCCTAGGTAAGTTTCCTAGTAATGAGTACTCTTTCACTTATCAGTGAGAGAAAAAAATGAAGTTCTATAAAGAATTAAGCTCTAAAGAGTTGAAATTTTTCACCTAAAATAAAAAGGAGCCATTGAGCAATTAACATGAAATTTATAAGGTTTCTAATTTTCATCTTGGACACTTCTATTAACTTGCTCTGTGAATTCTCAAATGGCACCCCTCTGTCTGTAAGGTGCCCACCTCTGCCAATCCAGTGTACAATACTAAGTGAAAATGGCACAAAAAATACAATAAGGAGTATGCAATTAAGAAAGGAAGAAGTCATTGAACCCTCAACCAGCTTTTTTTGTGCAGATTAAAGTTAATATTCCCTAGTTGTCTTGTTCCTTTTATACACAAAAATCTACAGTTGATTTTTCTTTTGGCCTTTAACAAACAAATATGATATTACTAATGTCACTGTGAATCCTCTACACAGAAACCATACAAACACTCCATGAGCTTCCTCGGGCTGGTGAATCTATTTACCCACACAGTAGCTGCCAATATCACCACTGAACACCTGCCAATGTGCTCCCACAAAATGTGAGCATAAATAAATGCCAATGCCATTACCAAAACAAAGCAAGGTTTTATGTTTTTGTTTTGTTTTGCAGTGGGAGCCAGGGTGCTACAACAAATTTCCATCAGCACATAAAACCTCCAAACATCCTAGCTTTAAGTGGTGTTTATCATGAGCTGTCAAAAATCTGGTTCTCTTTTGCAGCCAGAAGAATGACTTGACCACATGAGACAAAGCTTTCTTTACAATGAAGACTAGAAAAAATAATTTTTGGAACTGAGGAGACAAAATTTAATTTCACTGTTAAATTCTGATGTTCACTGTTTCTGAGTTAACCTCTGAAGCTCTGAAATTATACTGCGTATCACTACCCTTGGCCACTGGTGTACCTTACACTTACCTTCTAGAAGTTACAGCAGTTTATGTTCCTCAAATAGGTATTTCCACACTTAAGTACACCCAGAAACAAATTCAAGAATTAAAGAGAGCCTCAGGAGAGGAATGTAAGATCAAAAATAGTTCCTATTATCTCAAAAATAAAAATAGGCCAAGAAGCCATTCTCTGGAAATCTACATTAGACTTTGGAGGTATTCTCAGGTCTCACCTGACCACTCATTTACCATAGCCAGAGACAACTGCAGAGAGCAGGACAGAATCAGTGCCCTCTGATCTAGTCTCGTCCAAGAGGCACAGTGATCTTCTCTAAGTTGCATCTCATCTTGTTACCTGCTGTTTAATAACTTCAATGCATTGACTATGTTGAGGCTATGAGACCCTGCATCACAGACATGTATAAACTTTAGACCTGCAAGATCTGCTACTGGCAGAAATGAGACCAGGGACCTAGCTCACCTAACCAAACCACATAAATCGGAGTCTCCCAAGCGCCTTACTCTCTTTAGCATGGTGGATGTGCGGGGGCAGCAGGTTTCCCAAGACGGCACTGTGGACTGGTGGTGTCCCAGTGCAGACAGGGTGCAGGGGACCCAGAACTAGCCTTGCCCCAGCGAGGTGCAAAAGGTACAGAGGATGACTGGTTGCCAGTCCAGGAGGACCTTGAAGCTGAGCATGGAGGCTCTAGCGATGAGAGCTGGTTCTGACCACTTCTAACTGGATGTCACCATTATTACACCCCATTTGAAGTCACCCATCCCAAAAAAGTCACCATTGCGTGGTTTGAGGGTCTCTCGAGGTCTTTCCTAATCTGGTTGTAGCCAGTAGAAACCACAGAAGGCGGTCTAACAATCACTCCGCTCACGATATTGCACTCAGCCTCAATGCACTGACTACCCTAGAGATAAGACCCAATTCCTCTCTCTGACTCCACCTCTAATGTTCAGTGTCTCAATAACACCACTCAGCCCCTCTCTTCAATAACTAGGCTCAGCTCCAGAAGGCTGTCCTACAGAGAGAGAAGACAAAGGTACATCTATCCAGGGAAGCCATAGGTGCCAGGACTGGCATGAGAGGCCAGCAGGGGCAAGAGACAGCTGACAGGGGGCTTTGATCCAAAACAAGCCTGGGCCTGATGAACTACTATGACTCAGAGGCTAATCATCTATAAAATGGATCACTGTGCAAATGAAATGAGATCCTGCAGTTCTCAGTCATGACAGAATGTCTGAGGCAGGGGAAATGCTCAGAGACTGAGTCAGCTTTCTGTGACAGGTGGAGGAATAAGGAAATATGGAGAAGGCAGCAAAGTCACAGGTCTCTAGAGGTCAAATGGGCCCCTCCTGTGACACACCAAGAACCTGGAACAACCATGGGGAAGTACACATCACCCAAAGTAAGAGCATGTTAGATGTACTACTCATCTGCCAGGTAGGTTCTAAGTGAATCATGGGGTAAGGCAGGCAGGAGAGTCACACAGTTCTCATCCTTGTCATACTTGGTCAGACAAACCAATAGAGCCTCACGGAGGGAAGATAGGAAGGTCAGGGAAGACCACCTAATGAGACAACACACAAGAGTACCTCATGAAGCCTGGAACACCCCAGGCAGCCTATGTTGGCATATCCATGCCCTAAATCCCAAACAGGTACCTACTGTGTTCTGGCACCATCAATGCTTATGGCATTTGAGATTCATGTTTCTTTCTACTCTCCATCATTATAATCCATGAAAATTACTCTTGAAGGCAGGTAGGGAAAAGGTCATTTGATAACACTGATGAAGTCTCATCTGACCACTGTCAAATAGAGATACAGTGATCAGGGCTGATAAAGCTCCAAGCTCAGCCCAAGGTCCATTCTGTAGAGGATCAAAAGAGAGCCTTGATTCTCTGAAAGGGCCAAGCATAGTACCTGGTTAGTAAGTGTGGCTGCTGAACTGTACTAGGAAGGTTCACAACTTATCAGCTAATGAATTATAAAGGCTTAAAAGTCATTCTTTACATTTCATCCTTAAAGCTGGAAAGAATAAAGTAGAAAGATTTAAGAATATAAGCAGCAAGGCTGTTTGGTAGCAACTACCATTTCTAAACCTCTTATGCCTTTCCTTGGCAAGTCACTCCTAAATGAGTATCTTGTCTATCTTCCCTGCACATGTTTTCAAAGTACGAATTCAGATTCCAATGGCTAAAAATTTCCTCAATCCCATCCAAAGGGGACAATTTAATCTGAGGCTTCACTAACTCTCTCCTGCTGACTGCCCCTTTCACAAACAGCATTAATCAGTCACTGTCCTTCAAGAGGACAACCTAGGCAGATATAACCAATCAAACAAAATCCTAACATACAAACTGATACCTACATGGTAGCCCTGACCTAGCAGACAGAAAAAATTATCTCCAAGAAGGTAACATTTAAGTTTGGTTTTGGAAGACGATGCCTTTGGAGCTTCAGGAGACTGAGCAATTCCTTCCAGCTGGAGTATCAGGAAAGATAATCTCCAAAAATAATGTGGGTGTGAAAAGCTTTTAAATCTGTGAAAATCCCAGGAATTA